GGAACTGAATATTCATCACCAACTAATAGACCTGCAGGAACTGCAGCGTCGGCGATTTTTAATACATCTAATGCCCCACCACACGCCAAACACAATGAAATTTGATCAAAATAGAAGCCATTTGTTTCAATACAAGCGATTTGGCTCTCAGAACTGTCATCAAATTAAACTGGAAATCAAATTAACCAGTGACTGAATGAAGTCGAAGGCTGTATAATCACAGATTACTGATCCAGCGGCACGAAAACAAGGAGGCAATCACATTCCCCTTGTTTGTGGCAGTGCCCCCTCCTCCCAAAAGGGCTCCCCACTCTCCCCATCTTCCAGGGCTCGAGGATGCTCTGTGCCTTGGATCCAGCTCATCCAGTCGTCTCTCGGTGGTGCAGAAAGGAAAGGTTCCTTACAAAACCCACCCTTTGAGATATTATCCACTAACAAAGCCCGCCCTGTGAAAGTACAAGCTGACACACTTGAAACTGCACTAATTTAGGACAGAGCAGTCATTTCCAGAGCTGTTGGGAAGAACAAGTTTAAGCCTACACCAAACAGGAAAAGGGGTTTGTCACTGTCACCATCCAAGGTAACTTCAATCAGCGTAATTGTGTCCCCAGAAGTGGCCTCATTTTGGCTTGATTTCCCCCCTTTTTGCACTGTCACCTGAGAGGGAATTTAAACTACCTAAAGTTACAATTTTACATCTCGCCTACTCCTAAATTCCGATTAATTTAAACTGTGTGTCTGGAGAGCAACAGGCACTTATACCGAAATCATAGCAGGCAGAGGAATTTCATGACACTCCTGGGCAACTCCTCCAACACGAGCACATGAGGCTTAATTCAGCCAAATCCATCCTTTACCCACCAAGAACAGACCACAGAAAACTTCATCATTCCCTTTCCCCTGCGAACAAACCCAGGACTTGCTGATATTCCTATTTTTCCAAGGCAAGCCAGAAGTTTAGAACTCCCTCCTATACCATTCAAGGTTTCTTTACCTATGAGAGGAGCACCCACAAGCTTTCCCCTTCTCTTTCCAGGCTTGCAGAAGCAACATTTAAACACCTTAACGTTCGAGAAGAGGAGCTTTTTACTTCATTTCAGCCTCAGTTAAGCACCTTTTTGCATCACTCACTTTTTGTCGTCCCCCCCCCAGCACTTTCAGCCCCAGAGAGGGGCGCCGAGCCCTCACCTACCTTCACCTGGACAAACACAACCCAATGCAAAGGCAAAGAGGTAAATAATTCATCTGCAGGCAAACAGAAGGAAAGAACAATTAAAGGAGAAAGCACAGCAGGGACGTTTCAAGTTTCAGCCAACATTCAGCCGGGAACAGATCAAACAAAGAAATACCAAAGGGGCTGCCTCGGAAAGAACTTTTTTTTTAAAAAAAAAAGAAAGGTGAAAGCGCTGCCACAGAAAGCAACAGGCCGGCCCCAGCGGTGGAAACCCGGCTTGGACCTTCAGTCACAGCCCTTCCCGGGGGGGGCAGAGCCCACAACCCCCCCCTGGATGGGGTTTCAAAGCGGGTTTCTAACAAGAGTTTGAACGGCGAACCGGCTCCCGGTGGGGTTTCCCCGCTGAGGAAGCCCTTGGCCCGTCCCGGGGGTCTCCGGGGAGCTCTGGGGGTCCCCGGCGGGCAGAGCAGGCCCCTTGGCCCCCGTCTCCCCTCAGGGAGACCCCCCCCCCCAAGGCTCATCCCTCGATTGTGCTGGGTTTGGAAAGAGTTTAACCTTTTGAAACTTCTGACTGGCAGAAAAAACACAAACCCAAGTAGTGATTAGTTATCCTGAAGCTAAAGTTTGATTTATTGCAACTTTTGTAACATTTCAGCTTTACTACTAGAAAAACATCTCAGGATACTTGAAGAACATTTGATTTTTTTACTAAAAACACCTGTTCTAATGAACTTTAGGGATAATCTCAGTGGGGGAGGACACATCTGAGGCTGTAGCCGCGTTCTCTGAAGTGCAAGCTTTGTGGGTCGGTTTTTCCTGTGTATCTCAAGGGTCTTCTTGTTTTGTCCCCCACGTTGGACACCCCCATCCCCTTCAGCACAAAGACTCCCCGAGATGGTGTTTTGAGACATTTCTTTAAAACCAAGTGGAGAAAAACACCAGCCTCCCTGTATCCCTTCAGCTGGGAAACCTCATCCGAGCATTTCTAATGGAGCAACAGCATTTGGGGTTTGTGAAAATAGTGCAGAAATTCAGCCAAGGGCACCCAGCAAAGTCAAGCATCATCTTCATCATCCCATCGTCTTCATCATCCCTACGCAGGCCAAGCCCAGCAGCTGCTCGGTTCCTCTTCTCAGGAGGAAACAGCAACTGGGGAAGGTGGAGTTTTCATCTGCTTTTCTGAGTTAATCTCCTGGCGTTGCAATAGTGTTATTATTTAATTTTTATTTTTTAATGGCTGCACGGTTGTGTTTTCAGTTCACTGAAGATTTTCCTGCAGCGTTGTGGTCGTTGACGGGGACGTCCTGCTTGCGGCGTGTGTCGGGTGTCGATGCTGCTAATTTTGCTAATTGACTTGATGTTTGGGTTAGGGTTTTTTTTTCCATCGTGGTGCCGAGCTCTGGCACCTTCAGTTGGGTTTCCCTGGCGATTTTGAGCGTTGGGTGTGATTTAAAAGGCAGCGAGGTCCTTGGTGTATCTCTGCTGACACGGCCTTAATAAAGAAGGCGAGGATTTTCTAGGATTCCCATGGACAAACATAATCTGCTGCAGGAGGTAAATATCGGGATAAACATAGCGCTCCTTACCTTTGGAACTCAACCAGAGCCTTATGAAACAGAGAGGAGGAGGATGTTTTTATTATTATTTTTTTTTCCGTAACAAAAAAATGCATTAATTATTTCCTGTATCACCCGATCTCCCCATGGTGATTTCAATGTCTCAGAAGGAAAGTGCTGGAGGGGAGGGGAGGCAGTGGTCTCTCTGCAGGGTGAGGAGGGAGGGGACAAGGACTTTTCTCAGCCTTTTTCAACACACCGTATGTTCCCAAAGCCTTGACACTCCTTCAGCCAGCGAAGCTCCGAGGGTACAGCTTGTGTCTGCGGTGACGCGCTGCCGACTGCCCGGGTGCTCCGTGTGAGCGGGTGTGATGCTGTCACTTGACAGCGTTTGATTTTGGTTTTTATTTGTTATCATTATTAATTTATTTTTTATTCGGGAAGCGGTAAAACATCTCTGTTCTGCCGCCCCGTTTTGCTGCTCGTCGAGGCGATGTTTGAGCTGAGGGGAGGCAGGCTGGCAGGTACGGGTGGGAGCCAACTGCAATTACAAATCCCTTCGTTAGCGATCAAAGCGTTGCTGCGGTGGGGTAGCTCGTGGGCTTCCAGCCGCTGGGATGTTGGGGATGCTGCGTGGGCTTTGATGTGTTGATGGGTGGATGATGATGATGATGATGATGGGGATATCAGGAATGTGTTGGCGTGTAACGCGCTGGAATCAAACGGGATGTGCAGGAGGGTTGGTGATGGGAGGTGGTGGCTCCATGATGGGTTTTCACCGGGGGGTTATGTAGTGTCTCAAAGGAATCTTGGATTTTTGGGTGTCAGTGAGTAACCCGCTGGCTCTTTCTCCTCTGGGGAAGTCGGTGGAGGTGTTGGTTGTGTGTCCACAGCACCTGGGCGGGAGTTTCTCATCGCACACCTTTCCTTGATGTGCTCTCTAATGAGGGGCTGTTTGATGAGAACCTCTTCACTTGAGGGCACCGTGAGGGTACCCGTCCTGCTGCAGAGCAGGCTTTTCTTCAGCCACATCCCATCCTTCTCTTGGAAAAACCATCCTTTTCTTGGTTCTGCTTGGAGATGCTGTGGATGGGGAGAGCTCTGAGCTTTTTCCAGCTGCCCAGGCCAGGGGATTGCCTGGAATAGAGAAGCCCGGCTGGATTGGGAAGCAAAGTGGGTGCTTCCCACCCCACGGGGGGCAGAGGCGTGTGTGGGTCTGGGCTCTCCTCGGGTGCTGGCTCTGCCTGGACTTGCTCCTCTCCCTGAAGCTGCTTTTGCCTTCCTGGCAATGAGCAGCGATAAATCAGAGGTGTTGCTTTAATAAAGGTAGGCTTTGAGGGGCCCACAGCAGCCCTGTGGATGCAAATCCTCTTACAATCCTTACTCTAGATAGATATTTTTATTTTTTTTTTCCAAACTCTTCCTACCCACAGCTCACCCCTGTCCAACTTTTCTGGGGTGTTAAGAAATGGCAGATATTGGGGTTGGTGGGGCGATGTTTTCGTTTCTGTCGGACGTCCCCCTGGGGAAGCTGGACGTGAAGCTTTGCCTCTCGGGTGGAAATTGCACCCTGGGCTGGGGTGATCTTTTGCAACAATTGTTCTGCTTTTCTCGGTGCTTGGCTTTTGCTGTAATCTTGTGTAGATTAAGCAGGCAGTTATACATAAAGATTTCACCTTCACGCTCCTCGTCTATTGCGCTGTTTTGATCAGGACTGTGGTTCCTTAAGTTGCAAAGAACTGCAGGACACGGCGTGGCAGGGATTTATCTTTGTCCATCGGGTGGATTAGGTAGGAACGTTCATGGCTTGTCGTTAATCCAGATTAATATTATTAGTTTCTTTACGTTCAGTTGCTTGTTTACGCTTGTTTTCTGTTTATGTGAATTTTTGCTTGTGTAATGCCGCTAACGTTATGTATTAAAAGCAAGTCCTTTTAATTCATCTCCGTAGATTGACTAAATCTTTTTTTTTTCATTTTAGTGAAGCAGTTCCACAGAGATGGAAATTGCAGGGCTTGGGGGGTGTGTTTCAAGCACTCGTACTCTTCTGGGCCACGTTCCTCCCGACCCTGCTGCCGTTCTAATACTGGCTTTTTAAACAAACTCCCACACCAGCTTGCCTTTGCCGCTGTGCTCGGAGCAAGCGTCTCCAGCAGCGGCTTCCAATTTATAATTTATTAAGTCACGCAGCTCTTGGACTCTGGGGCTTTTGGAGAGGATTTTGTATCTCCCTGATGTCGATGTAGAGTCTGGAAAACGCAGGGGGAAGGAGCGTTTCAGCTTGCAGTGGGTTTCTGGTGGGGGGAGAGCTCCGTGGCCGGGCCGGTGGGCACTTTGTGTGTGTTTTTGGGGAGCGTTCCCTTCCGTCTGATGGCGAGGGTGAGTGCCGTGGGGTGTCACTGGGCTTTTCGGATGGAGCCACGGTTTGGTAGCAGCAGATGATTTGGGCTAGTTAGCTGTTCCTGTGAAAAAACACAATTCCTTTGAACCCGCGGGTCACCGGTTGTAGGCTGATTATTTCCCCCCCTTCCCCGCCCCACGTAATGCGTGTGTGTGAGAGAGATAATTAAAAGCTTTTAGTTAAATAAATAACTAAGCCGCTCAGGCGGCTTTCTAGTAGAACTGCAGAGTCAAACACTTGGAGGTAGAAGATGGCGTGTGCTGGTCCCGCAGCTTCTCCTCCGTCTTCCCCCTGGTCTCAGTGCGTGATTCCATACGGGCTTTTCCCCCCAGGGGGCTTGGATATGGCTCTGTGTGAGAGGAAGCCACCCGTTATCACCAGACAGAAGGGAAAGCTGCCCGTTAGGCGGGAACAGCCCCGTCCCAGTGTGTGCAGGGCCCCGGGCTGTATTTATTTCCCACTATTTAAACTGGGCTCCATAAACAGGATGAATAATTCCTGCCTGGGTTCCTCTGCGATGCCGGCGTGGAAACGAATCGAAAGGATGAGCTGGTCTTTGCGATTTGTTTACGAGAGGGGCTGGACACCTCGGGACAGGCAATGGCAGAAGGGTTGAAGGGCGGTTTGGTTTTATTGCTTAGAAGCGGAGCACGGTGGGATGTTTTATATTCAAGCCCTGGTTTCTGTCTCCGTGAGCTGCCGGCGGTGGCCCAAGCCAGGCACTCCGAAAATGAGGAACATGCAGCTGGTGAGCATTCCTGGAGAGTGTGAGGAGCCGGTTGTCATTGGGCAGAGGCTGGTTCGTGGAAGGGTAAAAAAAATCTTTGGGGTCCAGCTTCAGCTGCTGAAGCCGGGAAATATTTCTCCTCCTGCAGCCCTTGCTACCTTCCAGTTCCCGAACCGGATCAAAAGGTCCTCCAACCAAATAATCCACCATTTCTCCTCTTGAACGTGAGGGGCCAAGGAAAGCAGGATGCCCTGGGGCTTTATGGAAAGGCGCATATTTTCTTTGGAAAGCGGACAGAGAGGTGGGAAGCATTGGAGAAAGGCCTTACCATTCCCCGCGAGAAGAAGAGACCTGGGGGTCTTCATTCTAAATTCGTTTTCTGATGGTCCTCCTGTAAAAGCCTTTGCAAAAGAGAAAGAAGAAACCACAAGTCAGCCCGAAAGCCCTGCCATGAAAGCATCAGGCACAGAGGAGGGGAGCAGAGAGCAATTCCAAGGTGCATCCCTGTCCCTGGCAAAGCAGAGCCAGGCCAGGCGTAAGCGTTGGAAGAGCCTTGAGCCTGTCCTTGGGGAGAGGAGAGAGGCCACCAAGGTCCCCCCTCCTGCAGAGCCGGGGTTTCTCTTGGGGCAGAAGCAGCAGATTGGTGTGTTTGTGAAGGAGGAGCTGAGGGAGAGCCAGGGACCTTCTGGGGTTTGTACTTACTCTTCACTGTTGGTTTTCTGAGGATGGGGTAGCAGGGGAATTTGGCCCGTATAGGCTTGATGAGGCTTCGATACCTCGGGCGCAGGATATATTGGACCACAGGAGCTGGTACTGGGAAGGCTGGAGGGTACCAATACAGGTAGGGGACTGGGTTTATGCTGCAAGAGAAACAGGACAGACATTTCAGGGAAGGATTCAGTGTGGACTGATGCAATTGTTGAGGTACAAGCCCCGTTTGTTAAGAGCAGCATGGGTGAGAGCACGTGGAACCAGCAGGGCCCAGGATCTCCAGGCTTCCCAGGGAGACAGAGGCTATTCCAGCTCCAGGTTTCCCTGGAGGGACTGGAGTGTGTGTTGGTGGCAGGATGCAGAGCTTCATGGGGATGGTGGCAGGAGTGCCCAGGAGAAGAGGCCCTGAAGAGCAAGCGCTCCTGGAGAAACACTCACTTGATGTTGTCTGGCAGCAGAGCTCCTCCAGTCCCCCAATTCTCCTGGGTCCAGTCTTCCTCCTGAGGGGCCCTTGGCGGGGACTCCAGAGGCAGAGTGTGGTTTGCTTGAGCTGTAGGAGGCCAAAGGGAAAGACTGAGGAAGGGCAAGGCCAAAGCCCAAGCCAAGGCTCTTCCTCATTTCTGTGAGAGCAGGTGGGAGAGAAGCCACCACTTGGCTGAAAGCCGGGCTGTGGGCATCCCGAGGCGGGACACCAGCCCCCAAGAGAAAGACTTGAAGCCAGCCTCATCCAGTCTCTCCCACAAAGAGTGGCTGCAGCCCATTTCAGACCAATTTGCCTGCCCAACGTACCTCTCCTGATCTTCTCAGAGGTCTGGGACTCTGGAGCTGGAAGAGGGTCCCAGCTGGCCTGGATGGGCGGCAGGGGGATGTCTGGGAGTGTTACATCCCTGTCTAAGAGGATCTGGAAGGAGACAATGTGCGTGCAGGTCACATACCCATAACATGGATACGAGGCCCCTTTTCAGCATGGAAAAAGGCTGCTAAGATGATACAAACTCTTTTGAAGAGCAAAGTGTTTCAAAGTTGAGGAAAAAGACTCAAGTCAAGGTTTTACAGAGGCAGCACCTCCAAGGGGAAAAGTAAGAAGCCCCAGAGGGCAGAGGAGCGAGAGCAGCTGATTGTGCATCCTCGATTCATTTGCAGAGCCTTCAGAACCTTACCCTCTTTGGTGTTTCAAATTCCTCTTCCTCTTCATCGCTATCAAAAACGGAGCCGGAGTCCATTGTGTCTGTATAAACTTGTGAGAATTTCCTCTTCCTGTCGGATGGTGTTCTGGGGCTCCAGGACAGGTCACTCCCAGCTTTTCCCTCCTGCCGCTCGGTGGTAGAGGGCTCCAGGCTCAGCTGGGCCACTTCCACTTGTCCCCTTCCAGAGTCCCGAGGCTCTTCACTCTCCTCTTGGTGGTTTCTGAAGGGATCAAAAGCCCCAAATCGTTAGATTAAAACATGGGCAGCTAGCAGATTGCGTCTCTTCCTTGATTGAAATCCCTAAAGGCCCAGAACCAAGCTTCTCCCTCAAGATCACCAACGGGATTCACTCACCCGTCTTGCTGCCAGTTGGTCACGGCAGTCCCCGCCAGGTCTTCGTGGGGCTGGTCTTTGTGGTCTTCATCGTCTGACGTGTCCTTCAGGAGAGAGCCCAGAGATCAGTTCCTCTGAGCAAGAGAGGGGGCATCTTCCCTCTGCTCAGCTTCCCACAGGGTGAATCAAGTTAAGCCCCCTCCCGTCCCCACCAGGGAGAAGTAAAACCCCTTGATCTAACGGCAAAGAGATACCCCAGAGAAGAAAGGATGGTTTTGGCAGCCATTGTAGCATTTGCCACAGTTTGTAAATCCAAGCTGAGTTAACTCTGCCTTGGACAAACATTAATTCTTTGTAGCAATGACCCGAGTTGGTATTTACCATGAGTGCAGGTACGTTTGATAAAAGACGATTCACTAGTAGTTTTTAGTATTTTTAGGTCTAATAATCTAATAAACTATCTAATATCTTAAGAAACTACTTAATATCTAAGAAACTAAGAAAAAAGTATATAAGAAACTAATAATCTAAAAATCTAATAAGTGTTAAGCTAACAAACTCCTAATCCTAGCTCCTAAACTAACAAACTCCTAATCCTAGCTCCTAAACTAACAAACTCCTAATCCTACCTCCTAAACTAACAATCTCCTAATCTCAACTAGTATTTGTTCTAATCGCTAATAATTGTCGCTATCAGGTTGTTTTCCGATCTCAGTGGAGGGTGGAGAGCTGGGGACACGAGCGGCTCCTCCGAGACTCTCCACGGACGCGCTCCTTGGCGCTGCCTTTTCTCTCTAGAGCGGCATCACAATGGGGCCTGGGAGACGGGGCTGGAGCAGGCGGCCGAGGGCACAGGCCCCATTCCTGGGGAGGCAGGAGGCCAAGAGTTCTCCTGGGACTTGAGAGACACCAGGGAAGCAGGAGAGATTCAAAAGCTCTTCCCACAAGAGCTTCCACTGCCATGGGCACCTCAGGCAGCCTCTTGAGAGCTTCTGTTCACCAGACACCACTGCCCCATGGCCATTAAATTTAGGAATTTGTTGCCATGAGCAAAGGCTTTGGGTTTCTTGTTTGTTTTGGAGGAGGAAACCACAGATCCCAACATAACGTTGTGTTTTATGAACGGGAGGTGTGCGTCCGGGCCACCGTCCCGCTGCCTTGCCCCTTCCTCTCAGCACAAAGGGCCGAGGGGGCAGGAGGAGCAGCTTCCCTCGTGCCTGTGGCCAGGGACAAGGTGTGACTGAGACCAGGAGCAGGGGAGGCGACGTTCTGCTCCCCAAAAAGCTGTGGATGGGGCCACAGGAACCCCCCGGCTCTGGGGAGATGGGTTTCAGAGCAGAGCTCTCACCTGAGGGGGATGGAAAGGAGCAGAGGCCTCTCTCAGGGCGGCATTTTGCAGTGTCACCCGAAAGACCCCTTGAAAATCCCCAAAGCAAACCTGTTAGTCTGCCTTTTAAATACTGGTTTCTGTGTTTTCTAGTCCTGCTTGTGGCTTTTTCTTGCCGTGCACATGAGTCATCAGAGACACGAGCTGTTGGGACCCTTCGGGGCTGCAGCCCCTTGGGTGGAGAGGGGAGAAGAGCGGTGGGGAGCTGTATTCCCCCCCCTCCCCCGGCCAAGGGAGTCCTCCGGCTCTTCACAGAAATGAAGACACAGCTGTCATTTTGTC